TTTGACATCCTGGGCAAAGACTGATTAGCCATTTGCTGGGATGATGATGATGATGATGATGATGGTGTGTGTGTGTGTGTGTGTGTGTGTGTGTGTGTGTGTGTGTGTGTGATGTGTGTGTCAGTGTGGGGACTTGCAGATGTCCATGTCAGCTGTGGATCTTTAAATGAAACTGAGAACTGTTATACTAAACCACTGAGTAAAGGAAAGCCGCCCTTTGGAAGAAAAAAAAAAAAAGATCTTTCAGCTGATTAGCAGGAATTTTAAGAATCTGGACCCCATCATTTGTAAAAGAGCTGAAGAGTTTATTGGGCCTCAGCGGCATCAACTGGGTGAAAATAATATTATTAAACAAATATTAGGAGCTGGGTTTCATAATCTACGGTTACTCGATTCATGCAAAAATTCAAACATAAGCAGCTTTTCAACATCATGAGAACTCCAAACGTTGTCTCTAATGATGCTCAGGTTACTGCAAAATGTGCAGAATCCTCGTTAATTAAAGCAGGACTTTGATATGTGCAGAGATGTAAACGTTATATTAAAGGGAGGATTCAAAAATAACAGAGTCTGAAGCAGTTGTGGGGGGAAATAAAGAGGAAAGCGCTCAGTAACAGCTCCACTGTGAGGCCAAAGTGAACATCCTGGGCTGTGTGGATCAGAGACAATCTGGATTGAAACGCGTCTTCTCGTCCTCAGAGACACGAGAACTTGAAACCACGTAAAAACAATCAATTGGAGCGCTTAGTGTCATTAAACCTGATCAAAAAATGTCATTCTTGTGTGATGCAACGACTATACATGGATTTTGATGATAGTAGGAAATCAACAGTAACCTTTAAAAAGTGGGATGAGGTTATGTGTAGCAGGAAGAGTTAAAGCTAGTGTGTGTCGATACAAGCCAAAAACTCTACGGACTTTATAACAAGCAACCTGTGTGTTTTTTGAGCTTAAACTGGCCGATCCAGACCTTTAATTTTCGTATTTAAGACAGTGTGTAAGACACGTTTCCTTTGAAGTAAATGATCCCGGCGCTCCGGCTTTGTTCTTTTGTTTACACCACTTTATACACGCAGACATGAGCTGGTGTTCGCCACATTATGACCCAGCTGCTTATTGATCCCACACACTTCCAGGCCTCAAGGACAACACCTCAAGGTCCTCGGGCCCAAAGCGGCTCGAGCACAGGGGCAATTACACAAAGACACATGTTGGACTGCAAAGTCTTCGACGCTGGAATCCTTTAGTTTCGAGGGTTTGAGCTGACGACTACGTGCATCTGAACTCTCTGTCGGTGTCTTTTTGGTGCAGAACACATTTTTCAGACTCTGATCTGGACTTGAAATGTCAGATTTGGGACCCACTGAGCTGCTTAGTGATGAAACTCATCCATCATGGTTTCTTGATTTGGCCTTACTGGTCAGATTAAACTGCATTCTCTTTGATTTTTCTTTTTTTTTAGGTATATTTGCATGTGGAAAACTTTAGAGGAAAGAGTTGGATGTGCAGAATTCAACTGATTTTTAGATCTGCTGCATTATCTCTGCATAAACTATAAATTCAATGATTGGCTACTGACCAAACACAACGAAAACAACAACAGTCATTTATGTTATGTGACTGTTGCCACATGTAGGACTAAAGAAGAGCTCCCTCCTTGTAAAAGAGGCACATTAGATTGTAGATTACATCAACAGAACCCCGTTCACAAGCACATTGAACCTAAACCCAATGTAAAATCCTCTGCACAGCACATCGCTGTGTTGTGGTTTCGCTGTGACTTGTCAATAAAACGTGCAGCTGTGTCTGCTTTGTTCATTTGCACAATCAATTGAGCGTTTTATAGCTTCATTAAAAGCACGACTGCGAGCTTATAAAAATCAGCTCGAGTGTGAGCCGCTGTCCCGAAACCAAGCCACCAATTATTATTTTTTGGATGTGACTGCAGGTCTGTTTTAACACATGCGATTATATTTGTTTTTGGTTTCAGTAAAATCTTCCATGAAAACATATTTAAATCCTCTGGTCTTATCCAACCAAATAATAAGACAATAATGTTTTAAGTATGTTTATTATAGCTTATTTTTGGCACAGCTTTCTGAGATCCTAATAAACAAATAAACAACAAAAGAGCCAAATCATCAGACTAAGTAAATTCGTGTCAACATGTTTGTCATTACTGGGTTTGAAACCAGCTTTTAGGGAAGGTTTGGGACACAAATGAACAAACTGATGACTCATTACTTTATAAAACTATTTTTACCAGTCAGTCTGACCAGTGTGGGAACTACATTATGTAAAAAGCATTTTCTAAATCATATTTCAGTGTGTTCACCGTGTGTTTCGATTTCAGACACTTTCTCAGCAGTTCATGTTTATGTGTTCACTGGCACAAAGGCCTTCTTCCATTGAAGCCATTAACTGCTGTTCTGTGGTGTTTACATGGGAAGTTATTAAGCATTAAATTGAGTTATGTAAAAAAAAAATAAAAAACAAACCTGGGATATAAGCCTTCATGATTTTATCCCACTTAATGATATTGTTTAAACACTTTCCTGTTGCACACCTAAGCCTTTGCCGTGGCCTTATTTTTGGGTATTACCTTCGCCTACGCTGACTTATGTCGTCTAGACAGGCCTGTTTGATGGACGGATGAAGCCTGCACACAGAACTCCATCCTGTCAGATTCCAGCGAATAAAACGATGAAACAGAAACATCAGTGTAACGTAACGCAGCTCTGCCTGATAAACTGCAGCAGCCTTTAATCTGATGTCACCACTCAGTGATTCTGGTGTTTTCTGGAGCACTAATACCTTTTTTTTTCTTTTTTTTTTAAAGCAGACACTGTCAAATGTTTTTGTTTCATACATATGAACAGCCACTGAAGCAACACAGTCATTTATGCTTTTAGCTACTTTAACTGTTTATCCATCACATTTAACAATCTTTTTGAAGTGTTTTTTTATCTATTCCATTTTTCAGTTTGAGCTGTTTTAATTGTTTATCAACTGCTATTACCTGCTTTCATTTTTATCTCTTAGCTACAAAAATTATTATCCCGTACTTTTTAATTGTTATTTCAATTATTTATGACTTCGTTACAAAAAAAAAAAAAGGTGATTTTCAGGATGCATTCTGACTGTTCATGTCTTACTTTTTAATTTATATATTTATTTTCTCTTTCTTTTTAATTAGTTGCTCCTTTTTCCCATTTAGATAATAATCCTTATTGTCACAAACCCAATCTTCTAAAGCCATATTCCTGGTAAGATTACTTGTGTAAGATTGTGAGTAATGTGGTTTGTGTTCAGCTTTGTGTTGTGATGTGATCATCTGACGCGTTTGTGGGAAAATATAGAAAAAAAATCGTCTCACATTTTTCCATCTGCATTACAAGGGACACAATTTAGAGAGAAAAAACACAGAAAATACTGGAAACGTGCGTAAATATACTTTTATAGAATATAGGCATCTAAAAAAAATGTAAACGATTCCTCTTAATTTGAAGGAATTAATAAAGTATCGCGAGATCTAAACACGCGACTAAATAACTCCATTCTTTGACAGCATTAGATGCGCAACGGGCCGAAGTTGGAGCGAATTAGTTATTTGAATATTATAAGGAACAAAAGGCTTATTCAGTTTCCATGCGTTTTGTATTTTTTTGTACCTGAACGCCTCGATCCCGTTCATTGTGTGCTGATCATTAAAAGCACACTCCTCCAGCCTGCTAAATTCAGTCTATTTAAATTCGTGTGTGTGTACAGTGTAAACCAAAATACCTCACCAGCTTTGCACTGTGCTAACAACTGCTCGAGAAATTATAATAAACTAGAATAATACGAGATCAATAAATCAATAAATAAGCAGGATTCGTGTCCCTGCTGAAGCACAAACACAGAACCATGAAGAATATGCAGCGATATTCCTCCTCAGTCCATCTGACAGCGTTTAGAAGAACTGGACATCCAACTAAATGACAGAAAACCAACGCACATATTCTCACATGCATTAACTCCAACTGCTGGCCAGAACACATCATGGAAGCGTTTGTTTCCTTCCCGCTGAGACACAAAACTCAAGCTGCTATTCAGGATAATTGAAGTTTCACTTCGTTTTATTCCACACAAGACCACAAGGAACAGAATCACCAAATGCAAGTGAGCTGCTCCACCTAATAATGGCGCTACTAAAGCAGGAAGCCACAACGTTCCTCCAGTTTCCAAAAGCTGAACGCAGCGACCTGTCTGTTGTCACACACAGCACACTGTGGCGGTCAGGTTTGTTCATTTGAAAGTCCGAAAAGGTCATTCATGAGATTTATTCCCACTTAGTTAATGCGAGAAACAAAAAATGAATTCTGTATGTTGCAAACGTTTGGATAAATTGAGTTGACGTAATGTTGCATCAGCTTTGTGTGTAATTTAATATTGTGTGTAATTTAAACTCAAATTTATAAATAAATCGATTTATCGCTCATTTACGTTAAAGTGAAAAAAATGATTTCACACCTTAATTTTTCTAAAATAATAATTTCATACTGGACTGATAATTAAAAATACATCTGACTGTAGCCAACTCCTCTGACTCAGTGGAGGAAATCATTTCGTTTCATTCAAAGTTGTCAAGATTATTGCTTTTTTTCTTTTTTTGCAAACATTATATTTTAGAGTGCACTGCTGCACACACTGTTTTAAAAGCGTCTTATCATTTAGCCTGTGTCCGTTATAACAAATGGAGAACAGGATTAGTGAAAATATATTTAATAATTAGACATTAAGCACAGTTACACAAAAAACGGGGAATGCAAAACAGATGAGTGTGAGTGGATCCTTAGAATATAAAGGGTAGACCTACTGCAAAAGGTTTGAGTTCCCTCCTCAGCAGCAGCAGCAAAGTTCACCAGAAACACAAGACTGCTGCTGTCTGTCTGTCTGTCTGTCTGTCTGTCTCTACAGCGGCCTGCAGAGCTTTTAGTGTGTGTGTGCGTGCGTGAGCTCCAGCAAACGTCTTTTTTTTCTCTGCGCACACTTGAGCGTCCCGGAGTTTCCTAGAGAGTCCGTCACTCCTCCTGAGTGTTCTCTGAGTGGGAGCTGCAGCCTTCGGACTGACGGTCGGCTTCTGCAGCGGATCGTTCCTGCTCGGAGAGCTGCTCGCTGCTCGGGATGGAGTTCTTCTTTGGGCGGCCTTTGGGTTTAGTCGGTGACTCCAGGCCTCCTCCCTGCAGCACCTGCGGGTCCGATGTGAACCACAAAGTCAGGTTTAGGTTCCAGCACAGACTGTGGTGCATGAATCAGTGGCCATATGATAGCCTTCTAAGTGCTACATTTTTACGCATGTATTTTACGCATAGATTTACTATGATCCCCTTCAAAAAATCTATTTTCTAACGGGGTAAATTAATTCCACTGAACTACACCCCCCCATCAGCATGGAAGTCAGAAATAACTGCTGCTGTTTATGTATTATTTTTGCATATTCTTGGTTCAACTTACAATCTTCTTCCACTTCATCCGTCTGTTCTGGTACCACGTTTTCACTTGCAGCTGACTGAGACCCAAAGATTCAGCGAGGTCTATTCTGTAAGGAAGAAATACATGAATCAAACCTTAGAATTTAACACCAGGTCAGTTTTTTATTTTTTTTTGCCATCAAACACTCAACTTGGTCTGTATTTGCTGTGAGGGCAAATTATCTAATTATGTCATTTAGATGAAAAGGACTCGTCGCTACCTGTTGCGACCTGTTAGAATCTGACTTTACTTTATTAAAGCTAAAAGCCACGACTTCAAATGCAACCCTGCACCACCACATGCTGAGCTGCTATAGAAAACACTGAGGTCTCTGTAGTTTTTTGTGGGTTTTAGCAACCAGGTGGGAGTTTACACGATTAAAAAAAGGCACATTGTGGGTATTTGAAAAGCTGATTCCAGTAATTTTAGTCTCTAATGTTTATATTTAAATACTTACAGACCAACAAAATAACACAACTACGTTATTTCTAGAAATTAGGCCACAATGGAGGCGTTGTAATATTCAGACACTGCTGTTGGGAAATAGAATTCAAGTGCAATTTAATTGAATAAATCTAAATAATAACCAAACAAACAGCAACTTCCTTTCGGTTGTTTTTCGTGCCAACATGCTGTAAACGCACCTATCAGGAGTAGAAAGGTATTTCTGCTTCTCGAAGCGTTTCTCCAGGCCCATGAGCTGCAGCTCGGTGAACACGGTGCGGCTCCTCCGGCCCTTCTTGGTCTTGCTGCCTCCGTCGACTCCGTGTTCCAGCTTCCCCCGGAGGTGCAAGTCCAGCGGCAGGTGGTGAGACGCCGCGCCGACCTGGAGGCCCGGAGCGGCGGATAGGAGCGGCGAGCCGAGCGGGGAGCCCAGCGAGCAGGACAGCGGTGACATGGGGAACTTGAGGAGGCTCGTCTGGTCCGCTTTTAGCACTGTGACGGTGTGGAACAGGAGCAAAGACACAGAAGGGCAGGCGGTTTAATTTAGCTTTTAGTTTGAGCTGAAGAATCAATAAATAGAAACAAACCCCCAACAAATGAAGCGACTTTTTAGAGGATTTATATGTGACAGTACAGGGCAGATTTCAGGTCAGATTTGCTGCACAGGGAGGAAAATATCCCACTATAATAAATGCATTTAAGGCCCTTCATGCTGCTCCACACTAATGTCAAACAGCAGCAGCAATGAGGCCTAAAGAAACATCATTTAAAGCAGCAGTTAGGTGCAGATTGTGTCTGATTCAAATGGCCTAAAGTCACGGATTAGATTAGATTACATTAAACAAATCGCTGTGTGTAGTGTACAGTTTCAGGTCTTATTCACAGACCTGGAATAGACGTTAGAAGCTCCAATACGCACTTAAATACGACAAGTGATGAGAAAACTGGCTGAAAAAAGGCGTAAATTGATGGAATTTTGAGCATAACTTAAATAATCTACACCGACTAAATTATTATTAGTAATTTTGTTATTAATATTACTATTTCAGAGTTAAATAATGTGTAACATCTCTTTAAAAGGCGCTCACAGCAGTAGTTATCCTGAAAGCCACATTTTACGCACACACCTTAAAACTTAGAAATCTTCCATTTGCATATTTTATCTTTAACGGGATGTTTTCCCCTTAAGCCTCCTATAAAATCCGATCATTCCTCTACTTTATAAAACAAATCATTCTACCTCAGTTATGAATTTCCTTAACTGAAACGTGTGCTCGATAATAAGCTATGATTTATTGCAAACGATTACGCACAACCAATAACGCATTTCGCCTCGAGAGACATTTTTAATTACGCTGTATATACTCTGTGTATTATATTTGCTATTAAATGTCAGTCCTGTTTTAAACATTTAGCCAGGCGTTTTAACATTAATAATAATCCACCACATCTAATATCTTCATTTGCTATATTTTCCAGCTTGAAACCACTCCGACTGACTCATTCATCTTTCCACAGGCGCCTCTCTTACCCAGTTGGTTGTGGAAAGGCCGGGCGGAAAGAAGAGCTTGTACTCCGAATTTGAGCAGTTCCCCGGCCGGGGCAGACACTTTGTGTTCCGGGTGATCAGTCAGGATCTCCTCTATCATGAAACTCCTGTAACGGTGAGTTCTGTGGTCGGCATGAACTTCGGGTGGGTAGTAATGCGCCCCCAAGTCCAAAGGATGCTGCATAATCTGGCCGTGCGGTCACCTTAACAGACACCAAGCGCGTACACCGACTATCACTCCTTCAGTGGCACAAGCCAGAACTCATGTTCCCTTTGCAGCACCGTTATAGTCCGGAGATAAACTCTGTGGGTGGAAGTTATCCTCAGCTTCAAAGCATCAAGTCCAGGTAACCCAGTTTTGCTGCGCGTCTGTGCGTCCTCGGAGGGGAGTTTTACGCGCACTTCTGTCCAGGTTTTGTTCCTTTAGGAGAAGAAATATGGGACAGAGAGCAAACCTTTGACCAAAAACTCCCGAGCCCGGTCGTGTTCATGCCCACTCGCTGCGTGAGAGCCCGCAGAGGTCGGAGCTATTTGTCAGGCGCGAAGCTCGTCACCTTGGCAGTGAGTTAAGGAATAAGCTTTGGGTTTTATGAGTCTCGTCATATAGCTCCACCTCTTCTCGGGGTTTGTCTGCTCGCTGCCTGAACCAAAGTTACATGCAAAGTCGCACTTGTCCTGCATGGATTTATGCAAAAGGGAAGAAAATAAGGAGCTGAAAGGACAAGACATTTTAAATATAGCCTGCAAATGACTTTCCAGCTTATAGAGCATTAGACCGATGATGGTGGAGGTGGTGGTGATGTGGAGCAGCTGCTGCAGCAGGGGAAGCCCAGGTCGGACGGCAAAGTTCACGAAATTTAAAAAAAAAAAAAAAAAAAAAAGCATGCTTGATGTTTTTCCAAAACACTTTTAAAATGTCTTGAATGAGGACTTTGATAGTATCCATATTAGGACACTGCATCCAGTTGACTGCTTTTGCATGCAGGTCTGATTTCAGACAGGATTTTACAGATTTAACAAAACATGTTTATGCCAAGAAAAATCAGGAAATTAACACCATCCTTTTCACTACTGTTGTGTTGGATTTCTCAGCACCCGTGATAATGTAACGGGATGCAATCAAAGCCAGACTTCTGCAGATATGCATCCATCCCAGACTGATACGATCACTGTTCTGCTTCAGGCCCTGAGAAGCTCCTGAGGTGGATGAAGGAGACATATCACCCAAGAGGTAAAACAAACAAGGAAAAAAAAAAAGGGATGCACTCACATCTCTGAGATTTTTGTTTGTCATTTGCAGCAATTTGTCTAAATATTCTCAGATATCTCTCACAGAATATTTACAGCTTTGAAAATACGTTCTGGTCGCATCAACACTGCAGCGAAAAACCTTAAAGAATCTTTTGAATCTCTAAAATTGGTGTTTATACTTTACTCTTTAGAATTTTTAGTGTCATTTGACCTTTTAAAAATATGACCCTATACTGAACTGAATAGAAGCAGCTGCTCAAGTGACAAACACAAGAGCTGGGCACAACACAATACCCCTCTATGAACAAATTAGATGCCGTGCACCTCCTAATAGAAGAAGTTTAAAGTTTTCTGTGTACAAAATATTGCAACTGAGAAAATGTTGCACTTTAAAGTGTGTAGAAAAGTGCATGCTAGTCTGTTTTACTGTTATAGGTTTTATGGCTTTGTGTATTTAAGAAATGAAAAAGCAAATATAAATTGGAAAGAGCCTAATGACACTAACAACTGGCATTCAGTTCCTTGTCTAATATATTCTAATTAAAGATGTCATTTTCCCCTACAGGCCACTACATCATCCCAAATTCTGCTATAATACTCTGCTTCTACCCAAGGACTGTAGATTGTCTTCTCAAATATACAAAAATTGGAAAAACCTTTAAGCATTTATTTGTTTCGACTCTTACCAATCCCCAGTGTTGTTAGGGGAGGCATCTGATTGGTCCTGATTTATTCTCCAGCAGGACAATGAGCTCAAACATGCAGCCAGATTCACAGAGAATCATCTTCAGCCACCCACATGGTGCAGATCTCCTCCACAGAGGTCTGCTCTAAATCCACAGAGGAACTGTGACAAGTTCTCTGGGAGCTTCTTGTTGCTAAGCAGCTTGAAAACCTGACAGAGGAGATATGGTGCTCTACTAAAACCGATATTTGTCTTATTCAGTTTTGTATGAAGTTAGCTGATAAACAGGAACTATTGATAGCATCGCTTTTCAAAGCTTACTGTAGGTTTTTATTGCTCTAAACCATCTGCCCAGCACTGCACATGTTGCCAGAAGTTTGCTCTCAGCCCCAGAATGACATACCTGACATTGTTGGATTATAGCTCCCTCTTGTGGTCACTTCTGGGATTGCAAGGGGAGCTTCCCTGCAATAAGTTGCTCTTTGCTGCCTCCTCTGCTGTGAAAATGAATGAAAATACATGAATAGCATCAGATTTTAAAGAATCAAAACATATATTATGTAACAGGTCACTGTAGAGTAGCCTGGCCAAAAGGTCCAGGGAGGTGGTAGGCAGGAGGACTCAGCTAACTTCCTGAGCACTAAAGAGGTGGAGCTTTTCATTCACAGTGCTTCTCCAAGAACTCAAAGTAACACAACAGTACAAGAAAAGAATTACAAGGAAAAAGTTATTTCAAAATGAATCCATAGCTACTCAAGGAACAGCACATGTTCTAACAGCATAACCTCATCTCCCATCAGACAGCGATCTCTCTACTCTTTATATATGTTGCTCCATTGCCACCTTCACCACTTCAGCCCTACCATCACACAGCATGGGGACCTTCTCTACAACCTGGACGCAAACAAAACTGCAAACAACATCACTGTGCAAACTACAAACTCATTTGCATTTCTAAATCTTTCCATACGAGCTAAACATTTGAAGTCTTTACTGAGTGATACGTTTCAATACAAAAGAAACATTCACAAGGAAAGAAAAACACCCTCCACTTGGTCTGGTCCAGTGATGTCACTCTGGCCTCACCAATACCATAAATCCAGGAAGTGTTGGGCGGCCCACTCCCCAAACATGATTCCTGCATAGTGATTCTGAAAACATTAACAAAGAAAGTAAGTTTGAACCAAGGAACAAACACTTAAACCACATTTAAGCTGTAACTTAATAAAAGCTAATTAATGGCTGTGTTTGCTTTAATCCCCCGAGTGATGGATGTAAACCAACATATGAACACAAACAGGCCCAGGACAGCATGTGCTGCAACGTTACACGAGCATGGTTAAATGAAAGCAAAATACACATAAAGAAGGCGCTCTTATATAATGTATAGAATGAATGTGTGAAGGGACAAGTGGTGGAAAAGAGACTCTTCACCCACTTTGTCCAGCTGTCATGGCCACTTTTTCAGTTCAGCTTCCACAGCTACACGCCACACACGTGCACATTTTACTGCATTTCTGTAACCTTGAACATTCTTTGAACACTAGCGCTTCCTTATTTTGTATATTTGTGAGGGTGTATTTGCATATTTGCATAATATGTTTGTGTATAATTGTTATCTTTAGTTATCTCATGTATCCTTCTTAGTTTTTATATATATATTTTTTAAAAACTTTGATTCATGATCGGATTAATCCTCTGGAGTTCCCCAAAAGCAAAAAACTTTGTCAGGCCCCTGTTGTCTTCCATTATTATTCCCTCCTAAACAGCCTCGTATTACCATTGACATGATTTTACCCAATAAACTGATCAGGTGATTGATAGGAAATGTATTTCCAAGTCATTATTTTAAGCAAAAATTAACTTGTCCCAGCCTCTGATACTTTTTTGGTTTTTTTTATTTTAGATAAGCATTAAAGAACTTTTGTTGGCGCTAAAAAAAAAATTAAATAAATAAAAAAAACTCAGAAAAATAATATTTAAAAATTGTTCTTTTTTCTCTCTTTTTGTTTTGGGCACTTGGTCTCTTTAAATACCCAAAATGTGTTTTATTGGGTTTCTTATATATAT